GAGAGAGAGAGAGAGAGAGAGAGAGAGAGAGAGAGAGAGAGAGAGAGAGAGAGAGAGAGAGAGAGAGAGAGATTTAGACTTGACATATGAGCAGCGACATTGTGGGGGACTATTTGGGGATCGGTCTGGACGACATTTTGGGTTGGCAACATCTCTCCGTCTCTCCCCTCCCTTCGTCTCTCCTCCCTCCTCCTCATCCATGTATGTTGGTGCCTGGCGCTTCGTCTCTGTGTGATAGTGCCAGGTCCCCCCTCACACCGTGTGATGATGATGATGATGTTCAGTCTGTGTCACGACAATGATTGGGTCTGATTATTGGTATTTCAGTCTTTCGCCGTGCTATCCTTACTACGTCTGTGAGAGGTCGGTTCTGGGTTCTGGTCTGCACCATATTGGTATCTCTCATTTTCCTTGCACTTGTGTTTTGCGTTTCGGAATTGTCCAGGATCGTAACAGGAGGCATAAATACATGTATAAGAGATGTAGTTCAACGAAATCAAAGACTGTAGTGGAGGTAAGAATTGTGTACCATGCCCTATGAAATTTCGCAGTTGATAGCCCTGCCTTGGCAAACAGGTTGAAGGCTTCGGTTTGATAGATGTATGATCTTCCATGGCAGGTGATTTTGTGGAAAACGTCTTCACAGGTCTTCCTTTCTACATCCGACAAGGGACAGATACCAGGTGCTTCCTGCTCAAGCATTCTGATCATATTCGCTCCCTCTTCATCACACCTTGGGGACTGCCACTTAGCCAATGCTGCTGCTGATGTTTTTCCTGTCTCCTCTGCTTCATGCCTGCGTGTTCCATGGTCCCTGTCTTCGCCAATGTGCTGTCCCCCCTTGCTCACTCCTTCCTGCCTCAACTGGTTGCTGATAAAATCTGGAGTAAATCCTAAGCCAGTTTGACAGCTCTCCATGGGCTGATGGCCATCTGCTCCAGTTGGAATGGCTGTTGCACCACAGGGAACATCTTCTGCTATGCCATGAACAGGTTTTGTTCCTGCTGCAGTCCCCAGTGAGGCATTAACTTGTTCCTGCTGATTGGGCACAGCAGGAGTCACGATACTGGCATTGCCACTGAATGGAGCGCATTCAGTTGAGCTCCCCTTGTCTTTCCCATGGCCAATATCCCACGAAAACTCCTCCGTTATGTTTTTGTGATCCTTACCTGACCAGGAACCAGACGCTGAACCCTCCCCGTTCCCATGGCCACGATCCCACAAAGACTCCTTGGTTGCTGTTTCACTATCCTTAACTGCCAAGGGACCAGAGGCTGAACCCTCCTTCCAATGTCCAGTGTCCCACAAAGACTCCCTGGTTGCAGTTTCGTTATCCTTATCTTTCAAGGAACCAGAGGGTGAGCCCTTCTTCCCATGGCTGGGATCCCACAAAGACTCCTTGGTTGCAGTTTTGTAATCCTTATCTGACAAGTAGCCAGAGTCTGAGGCCTTCTCCTTCGCAGGGGCAAGATCCCACAAGGACTCATTGGTCGCGGTTCCATGGTACATATCTGACGAGGGGAACGGGTCTGGACCAGATTCAACTATCCATGTGGCTAGTACAGGGCATGATACAGATGCAGGCATGTCAGACCGGGAGACAACTGTAGTACTAGGCTTGCTAGGCCAGCCCTCATCAAATGGCATAGAGAATGTGCACCCATGAAATACATTAACAGCTTGCAGAATCGCTGCTGATGAGGCAGTCATTTGGAACGAGTCAACTGACAGGCCTGATAGACCCGTCCGTGCTGCCAAGTTCTGGTTATCCCAGCCAGCAGGCGATGGGGGTTGTGGAATCTGTCTCCGAGGTTTGACGAGGCCCAGGTGGAAATCCTCCGATGTTGTCGGAATGTCTTCAGTAGGCAAACTGCTAAGACAGAGTGGCTCCAAAGAGGATAGCGAAAACATGCAGGGGGAGGAGGTGGAGGAAGAGCATGAGCTAGATGGAGGGATAGACTTGTCCTTGAACACCTCCTCTAGAATGTCTTCACGGTGTAGCGGTTGCATGAGCAATGGCTGCAGTGCCTTTTTATTCAATGGATTGAAAGAATGCTCTAGTGCACTAGCTCTGTGTAGTGGTGGAGGCGCTGGGGATGAATCGAGGACAGGTCCAGAGGGCATTGCACAGGGCTTCCTGATAGACAGAAGCGCTATGCTTGGTCTTGTACTAGACCAGTCAATGGAGCTGTCACATATTTGCCGCTCCTCATTTGGAGGAATCAGGTTTGGGCTCCGCAGAGAGGGACAAAGAGAGGCTTCCACAACCATCTCCTCAATTATTACAGGTGCAGTGCTCATCGGGACTGGCTTGGAGTCATAGCACACACAGGCCGCAGGGAATGATCCTCCTGGAGGGGCGGCTGCGAACTTCTCTGATGCTGGTGGCAATGGTGCTACTGCTTGAGTTGACTGCAGAGTTAGGATGGAAGGCTGATTGGGTGCTAGAGTCATCGTTGGAGTGAAGAATTGTGATGAACATGCTGATGGTGGAGAGGAGAGGGGCAATGGCTGGGGCGACAAACATGGGGATGCACCATCGGCAGAAATGGCACAGCTCATGCAACCAGCAGCGGGTGGCAGTGGTGAAGGGTGCTTGCCTTGACATTGGGAAGGGTCAGAAGATCTCCCCCCATCGACGATGTCTTGTGGTCCCTTGTCGCATGCAGGAGAGTCTTGACGGTTGACGGTGCATGGCAGAAGGTCCGACTTGGAGTAGTTCTGAGAAAATGGCGATGACGATGACACTGACAACTTGTCAACCTGTTCAGTCAATGGGCACTCAGTAACCCAGCTGTAGCTCTGCGTCACAGGCGGAGACATTGCAGGGGCCATGAAGTGTGCCCCCCCGGAAGATGTTTTCTCTATATCCACAGTCATGGGCGAACCCCTCCATCCCTGCTTACTATCACCAATTTGCAACCCTTTCTTAGACTCCTCCTTCCTGGACTCCTGAGCTGATGAAGCTTGATCCACCTTGCAAGGGAATACTTGGTCTAATGTCTCTGTCTTCTTCTCCGACTCATTTTGTTTCTTTCTCTTCCCTTCTTCCTGATCCAGACAGCTTCCCTGCTCCCTCTCATCAGAATGCAGCATGCGCCTGGGGCAAAACAATCTTGTGTCAGGATCCAGGGCTTCTTCTCCGTTTTCTGGTGCCATCAGCAGACATTTGATGGTGCTGGGCACCATAGCTGTGTCCTCTGAGTCAGTGAGCAGTATGTCCAATGTCTCACTTGCTGGTGTCGACAAGGCAGACACAGTAAATCTCTCAAAGCTGGAGACGTCATCATCTTCCAGTTTGCATGTCCCTGAAATGCCAGGAAGCTTTAAATGAGAAGCCAAATTATCTTCCCCCAGTCTGGAATGGTCAAGCAGAAGGGGCTCTGTCTCATCGAAGGAGACAAATGGAAGGATAGGAGACATGTGCATGGGAGAGGCACTGACCGACTCCACAGGTGAGAGGGACATCATCTTTTCATAACCATCCTGAGTGTGCTTTTTGGTGGTGCAGTAGTTGCTTCTGCCATGTGTCTTCGACGATTTCGGGATAGAAACAAATAGTTGTCTCTGCTGCGACCTGCTGATTGCAGCTTCAGGGGACCCTTTGACTCCCAATGTTTGTCCAACAGCAGAGTCCTTGCCTCTCCATTTCATTCGAGAAGGGTCACTTCGTTCATTCAATTCTGCCCATTGATGCTGGACCAAGCTCTCTGCATGACCATTGACGATTGTGGCATCTTCCTGGCCTCCGGTGCATAGCAGTGCTGTACGCTCACCAGTACCCAGTAAGTTTTTTTCAGGGTTTGTAATGTTTAAGTTCTGCTCTGTGGCGAGAGGCAACTTTGACTTCGATGCAGGAGGAGACATTCCAAGGTGGGAGCTATCAGTCTCCACAACCCCCAGTGCAGGATTCTGCAGGTCCTCCTCCATTTGGATCAGTAAAGCGACTTGCTGTGCCACTTCATCCACCGCCTCCTCCCGACAGCTATCTTTCCCCTCTTTGTTGAGTGTCTGTTCATCCATCTCTTGTCCGGTGGTTGTCTTCGATTTTGCTGTGTGGTCTGCAGAAAGGATTGAGAGTGTCCCTGACTCCACAGGTTGTGGAGGACTTATATTCTCGGTCCCCAAGGAAGGTGGACTCTTCGTAGCAGTTGAAGAATTGGAAACACCCTTGCAGTCAGCTCCATCGGATGGAGGCATCTGCATATCACAAGGCAGCAACCAGCTCATTAGCACTGATTGTTTTTCGTTTAGTTGGTGGGGTTGTTGTCGATGTTGTTGTTGTGGTTGACAGTTTCCTTGTTGACCATACGGATGTAGGTGTTGAGGGCAGCGGGTTGTGGGTGCATTAATGTACCGCAGTCCATTCTTTTTTGAAGCCTCTTCAGATTTCCTTCCTCTTTCCCTTCTCCCAGAAGTGAGCCCCCCATGCCCTCACCCATGGCGTTTCCCCAGAAATCGGTGAACTTCTAAGAGATAACTGGTTGTTCCACCACGTTAGTTTCCAAAGCCAACCAACCTGGTTCAGTTTCCAGTGACTTAATCATATCAAGAAAACTCTTCTTGAAGTTGGGCAAGCAGCACAATGGGCCCAGTTTTGCGCTGTTCACATTAGCCTTGAAGAAGCAGTCTACCTCTTCCCCATGGTCAGCAGGCATTCCGAACACCTCAACTCTTTGCCACACGATGTACTTGCTATATCGGTGTTTACCTATATTCTTGATGTCGGAATCCTGCACAATGTCACCAATGTTCGATCTGTTCAGCTTCACTTTCAGCCGGCCCCCCTGCAGGTCACCGAATGCATAATCTCCCCCTCTTGGTACTGTGACTGTATTGTCCTGCAGTTAATTTCGAGTTCCTTGTGCTCTCCAAGGTGTTATCAGCTAGGAACTGCCTCTATGCTCTGTCCCTCTCATACCCTTTCCCGAAAATGGTATGCCCCATATGCTTTCCTCTCCATCTCCTCCTCCTGCTATTCCTCTGCCTACTGTTGCTATTGATGCTTCCCGTATTCCATCCTCTTCCCTGCATTCTTCTCCTGACTTCCAGCCGGTTGGATCATATCTGATCCTTATGAATCGGTTTGATGATGGTATTTCTTTGTTATTGGTGACTCCAATCAGCCTGCACTGTGCTTTCTGCAAATCCAGCACTACCCCCTCCCATAACCAAAACGTTGTCCCCTCCAGCAGATTTCCTCCTGCCAGGCTTCTTGTCTGTCATCGTGTCTCTGTCATCTCCGCTTCCCAAACTGGACATCTGGTCGCTATGCTTCACATCTCTTCCCTTCATTAGATCTGCTCCCATTCAATCCGAGTCATCAGTTGGAACAGTTCGCCTGTGTCTGTCCTCAGCAGTGCTGTCGATTGGCTGCTGTCAGTTGTTATGAACTTGGTTGTCTGACGATTTTCTCGCCACTCACACAAAGAGTGTCTGACACACGCCCATACACATACGAGACAAAGGGGAGAGGAGGCAGAGTCCAAACTGCACACAGACAAAGATAAGCAGCAGAATTCAACCATGCACAGATGGGGAGAGACACACAGTGATTCTCACTCTCTGACAGACTCCCAACAACCAACCACAAGACGACACCTGTGAGGATAACAATCGGAATCACACTGCTGATGAGCCAACTCAAACCAATAATCGTTACAGAGTTTATCCTAGTGTCTCGCCACCCTCAGAACTCCACACACCACTCTCTATTCCACAGCCAGTTAGTAGCGCAACACTGAATCTGCCTCCTTGAGGCCAGCGCCAACCATCCAGATGAGGAACATGAATCGCGATGAAGTCTTCAGTGCCGATGAGTCACTCTGATGAAGAAGATGGCAGCTATGGCTGCCACACCACTGACGAAGCCCTGACAGTCTCTAAGGAGTGAAGGGCGACAGTGGTCCACCCACATACGCTCAGTGAAGAGCCTCCAAACAGCCGAGCCAATCGCAGATACCCTCAGGGGTAGATGCTCAGAGGGTGCCCCAGCTATGGCAAGCACTGGCAGGCTGGCTATGGCTGCCGTCCACGATGAGGGTCTCAGGATGCCGCCTGTAGACAATCACCACCACCAACTTGCTTGGCTCCAGAACGCTGTCTCGCGAAAATGAAATGCCAAAAGTCCCTAACCTACCGGCTCAGTCCTATTAATAGACTAGCCTACTCTAGACCTAGACCTACTCGACCGGTACCGCACCAGTTTGGCCTGTTCGGCCTGGGCCCTACCCGGCCATACGGCGCCTATTCCGACTCTACAGCCCAGGGCCCGGATGGGCTGGCTGTCCCAGTGATAGCCCGGGTCTGCTAAGGGCGATAACGGCTAAGGGGAGCTCGGGTCTGCAATTTTCCAAAAATTGCAGATATGTCCCTTATGAATTCCTCCGAAGACTAAACTGGCAATTAGTCCCTGACACAAATAAAATTATGAATCTGACCCTAAGACGCGACTGTACAACCTCGCCGTCAGATCTCGACAGTAGAAATCAGCAAACCATTGCAGACTTACCCCCCGGGGAGCGAGGACCTCTGAGCTAGGGGTGTAGACGAGGAGATCGCCGAGGAAGGTTTCCCTTCTTGGCCGCCTCGTAACGTAAAATTACAGACTTTGTTGTCTTGAGAAGTTCCTTCCGGGTAAACCAAATGTCCTCAGTATGAGGCTGGAAGCAGAACCTCACAAGATACTTCCGGTTGGGGCCAGTGCCCCACTCGTCCTCAATGGACTCCACGTCATATCCCTTGCCAGGGATCGGTGGACCAAACTGAGGAGGCCGTCGGGGAACGCATCAGCTGCGGTGAAGGGGAGCAGCTTGGATGCATGAAAGACCGGATAGGTCTGCAGATGCAGTGGAACGTCGATGAAGTATGACGGTCCAAATGGACCCAAATAACGCCAATCTTGGGGGCAACATCTTGGGGGAGATATCCTCCTCCCTCGACAACTCATAACTGACCACCCAGCCATAGTCACCAGTACGGATGGGGGAAGGCCGCCTATGGCGATTAGCTTGTTCAATCATAGCCTTTTGAGCTTTGAACAAGTTCGCCCGTGCTCTTTCCACATCTATGCGATAGCGTCTGGCAAACTTTGCGGTGCCTCGCGTCAGATCTGACTTAGCCTTATCGATGATATCATCGAGAGGCTGTCGTGGTTCACGACCCCAGTGCAAACGGTATGGGCTGAACCCAGTCGAGGAGTGGATAGCCGTGTTATAGACAAGCTGTGCACGAGCCAAGTGGAAATCCCAGTCCCGTTGATCTGGGGAGATGACAGGACGCAGTAATTGGAACAGGACCTGGTTCATCACTTCAGCCTGACCATTGGCTTCAGGGTGATGACCAAAAGTCATGTCCAATCGTGAGTGTAGGTAATCCTTACAGTAGGATTACCACTCATTGCTACAGAATCGTGGATCTCGATCACTGACTACAGAAGTGGGCGGTCCATGGTGAGTAACCCACCTCTCGGAAAACGTTGCTCTCACAGCGGGGACCCTAGCTACTTTTGGCAAGGTGATGAACTTTGCGTACTTAGACAACATGTCCACACAGACCATTACCTGACGCATCTCACGAGGGGTGGTCTTGCCTAGATCTGTAAAGTCAATAGACATAGATTCAGCAGGACCATCAGGTATGGGTAAGGGTTTGAGTAGTCCCAGAGGAGGTCTACGCTGGACCTTATTTCTCTGGCAGAGCTCACAGGTTTCGACATAGTGTAGCAGATCACTCCGCATCTCCTTCCAAAAGAAGCGTTGTGATAGGGCGGCATATGACTTTAAGAACCCCAAATGTCTGCGCGCATCATGACACTCTGACATCAGCAGTGTCCTGAGTTGCTGGTCCTGGGGAATGCATACGCGTTCCTCACCTCTGCTGTAGCTATACAGCAAGTCTGAACTCAGGGCGTAGCCGGGTTCAGAATTGGGATCCGCTTGCAAATTCCTGACTATGGGTCCATAAGTCGGGTCCTGAGGCAGTAAACGAGTAATGGTCTGACGGGTCTCCTCTCCAAAGGAGTGAGTGGAGGAGATCAGTGCAAAAAGTCAGGCCTCCGAGAGAGCGCATATGCTACTTTATTGTAGCAGCCCTTTTTATGTTTCAGTTCAAAGTCAAACATGCCAATGAACTGAATATAGTGTGCCAGTTTGTCATTCAACTCTCCCTGGGATTTCATTCACTTTAAGGTGGAACGATCAGAGAAGATCTTGAAGTGTCTTCCCAGGAGAAAGTGCTTCCAATGCTTTAAGGCACATACAAGAGCATATAGCTCCTCGTAGGTAGAGTCCTGAAGCTTTTGAGTTTTGATCTTCTTACTCATGAACTCTACAGGCCGTAGACCATTCCCATCATCTTGTTGAAGAACTGCCCCAATGCCATACTGACTGGCGTCAGTGGCCAGGATGAATGGCGAGGTGGGGTCAGGCAACTTCAGCACTGGTGCACGAGTCAAGGCCTTCTTGAGTCGTGTAAAGACCAACTGACAGGGAAGAGACCAAAGAAAAGGAGTGTCTTTCTTTGTTAGGGTGGTTAGGGGTGCAGCCACTGCAGAAAAGTTCCTGACAAACTTTTTGTAGTACGAGGCCAAACCCATGAAGGACCGGACATCTCTCACTGTCAGTGGTTGTGGCCACTCCTGAACAGCGGCTATCTTGGCTCCTGATTCTTGGCTGCTTCAGGAGCCAGACCATCTCCAGAGATTACATGACCCAGGTAGATAACAGAGAGAACCCCAAAAGAGGACTTCTCTCTGTTAATTTTGTATTGGTTATCACGTAATGACTGAAGAACTAGAGCCAACTGCTCCGCATGTTCCCTAGCAGTTCGGCTGAATATCAGAATGTCATCTAGATAGACAACCATGAACTTGTCTAGGTAAGGCATGAAGATGCGGTGCATCTCAGTCTGGAAGGTACCTGAGGCATTGCAAAGTCCAAATGGCATAAACAGATACTCGTAAGTACCATATCTGGTTTTGAAGGTTGTCTTGTGGACATCCTCCTCTGCCATCTCAATCTGATGATACCCAGATTTGAGATCGACTTTGTGGAACATTATACAGCCCTGCACCATGTCTAGAAGGTCATCGATCCTAGGAATAGGCTTTGTACTTTTCCTAGTGATCTTATTGAGACCCCTGTAGTCGATGCACATTCTGAATTCTCCATTCCCTTTCGGGACGAAGAGCACAGGTGCGCCAAATTCAGATGTGCTCGGTCGTATCCAACCCTTGTTGGTCAGGGTCTCTAACTACTTTCTAAGCTCCTCAAGCTCAGCAGGGGACATCCTGTAGATGCGGCCGTTAGGAGGGACCGCTCCAGGTAGCAGCTCAATGTGATGCTTGGTTGGCCGGTTGGGTAGTCCAAAGGGCTCCTGCATCAGATCGGCATACTGGTCCACAACCTGTTGTATCTCAGGAGTACATGAAACAGGTGCAGCGTCTGTTTGCTTGACCATAGCGAGAAACAGACGCTTGTGGTCATACTGGCGCGAGAGAGAATAAAACTCCCTCGCTCTCAAACAGTAGCAACTAGTCTTAGGGTGGTGGTCAACACCAATCATGCAAGGCTGATACACCCCCTGCCCATTGGGGAGTTCAACCTTAGGGATTTGCCAGTTGATCCTAGGGTTGACCGCCCTCGGCCACTGCATAGAGAAT